AAAACAATATAGTAAGAAAATGGGCAAAAGATAGGAGCAGATAGTTCACTAAAGCTGAAATTCAAATGCACATAAAAAGATATTTGATTCCATCAAGTATTAGGCAAATACAAGTTAAAACCACGATCAGCTGTCACTACATACCTAGAACGACCAACATAAAACAACTAGGACACCAAATTTTGACTAAGAGGTAGAGAAACTGAATCGCTGGTGCGTCGATTGTGGCAAAGTGAATGGTACGGCCACTCTGGAACCAGTGTGGAATTTGCTTTTAAAGCTAGCCATGCGATTGTCATATGACCCAGCTATCCTACTCTCAGGCATTAATCCCAGAGAGATGGAATGTACATTCACAGTAAAACCTGTACACACATCTTTACAGACGCTTTTTTCATGGTAGCCAAAAACCAGAAATAGCCCAGGTGGCCTCCAAATCATGAAGAGTTAAACTGTGTCCAGCCGTACCATGGAATACTACTCAGCCACTAGAAAGAATTATTGATACAACCCAGCTAGAAGTGCTAGAGAATTATGCTCAATAAGAAAAGCCAGTCAGGAGGGGAGCACTACACACGGGGGTCCGTTGGGGGGAAATGGGGGAGGGACCGGGGGGTGGGGAGGTGGGAAGATATAGCATGGGGAGAAATGACAGATACAGGTGAGGGGAAGGAAGGCAGCAAACCACACTGCCATGTGTGTACCTATGCAACAATCTTGCATGTTCTTCACATGTACCCCAAAACCTAAAATGCAATAAAAAAAGAAGAAAAAGAAAGAAAAGAAAAACCAGTCTGCACACTTTGCACAGTGTATGACTTCATTGATAGAACATTCTTGAAATGAAATTGAAACACTGATGGATGGTTGCCAGGGGTTCAGGGCAGGAGAGTTGGCTCTGAAAGGAAAGGGGCTCGGCTTGGCTATGAAAATGAAGAAGGTGGGCATGGCTATGAAAAGGCAGAAGTGGGCATGGCTATTAACCAGAAGGGGCATGGGCATGGCAATGAAAGATAATGGAGTGGGCATGGTTATGAAAGAAAAAGGGTGGACATGCACTATGGAAGGGCAGGAAGTGGGCGTGGCTATGATGGGGGAAGTGGGCGTGGCTGTGATGGGAAGTGGGCGTGGCTATGACCAGGGAAAGTGGGCGTGGCTATGATGGGGGGAAGTGGGCGTGGCTATGACCAGGGAAAGTGGGCGTGGCTATGATGGGGGAGTGGGCGTGGCTATGACCAGGGAAAGTGGGCGTGGCTATGAAAGGGAAGAGGGTGGTCTTGTAAATGAAAGGGGCAGAACGTAAAGGCACAGAGGAACCCTTGCTTCTTCAGTGATGGTTATCTGTGTGTTGACTGTGGTCATAGACACAGAAATCTACACTGGTGCTAAAATTGCACAGAATTAAACACACACGCATAAATGAACACAAAAGGAAGTAGGAAATCCACACATTGGTGGGATGAATCAATGTCATTCTGCCTGTGAGTATGTGCTAAGGTTCCTGCAGAATGTTGTTATTGGAGTACACTGAGACACGGGTGCATGGGATTTCTGTATTATTTCTTCCAACTGCATGTGAATCTACGGTTACCTCAAAACAGTTTAAAACCAAAATCTGCATAATATAATCTTGGATAATGACAAATGCCATAAAGAAAAAAATCACTAATTCTCATTTGGGAAATTAGAGGAAGGATGGATGAGGAGAAAGGCCAGCAAGCTTTGGCTGAGGACAGAGTATTCCTGAGAACCCCAAAGAGCTCCCACCTGGCTGGTGTTATTTTTGTTTTGCAGCTAAGCTGCCTGCTAAACACAGCGTTTAAGAGCTCATCCTGGGAATTCCATTACCAATGATCACAAGCAGCATCTGTGATAGGGAACTGTGAGCAGCCAGAACCATAGGTGCATATTCCTTCCTACTGCACCTGAAGAACCGGGAAAAGCAGGTCACAGACTCACTCACTCATTAGCTGATTGTCCTGTGAGTCTTTCCCTAGCGAGGCCCTATTGTTAAAAGCACATTGTGTGGGTGTAGGGGTGTGTGTGTGTATATATATATATATATATATATATATATATATATATATAAAATGTGTGGATATATATATATATATATATATATATATATGCACATACACACACACACATTTAGTAAACAGCAGCGTCATACACCCTGCAAAGGCATTTAGCCTGTACTCCATCTGTCAGTGGCTTTTAAATCTTCCTCTTATAAGTGACTCCCAGACGGAAATGCATCTTGGAACAGAGGTAGCCTCACCCCCGGCAATTAGTCTAACTCACTCCCCTTCCTCCAGGAGGGGTTCTCATGTTTGTGAGGGTGTGTCCTCTCTCCCGGAGAGCCCGAGGGACCCACACTGGGATATTTGAATGAGCAGTGCTGATGAGAGGCTGAAGGTGCTTCACTGTTTCACCTGGGAATGGGAAGGACACTTCCGACTCCATGACTGGTGAATGCACACATGGAGAAGAGAGCACACTCCAAATAAACCTGTAATTTTGTCCATTAAATTCTGTTTTGTAGATGCTTATCACTTCAATGAAAAACCTGTCCCTCTACTGACAATGGTCAGTCATACCTGCCATTGAGGGCCTGGGACTGTGGCTGCGCCCACAGGAGTGGCTGGATGGTCTCCAGCTCTTCCTTGCTACATTTCATGAACACTGAGAAACAGAAAAACACTTTTCCCAAAACAGTGATGGACAACGTGATAAATATATAGAACATTCTAAAAAGCTTAAAGTGATAGAGATGAATTTTTAAGATTACCAGTAGAATAAGTCATTGCATAAATTAATGTAATAATATTTTATGAAAGCAAAATATTATGATCATGTTAGCGTAGTATTGGTAACATAGCAGATAGAATGGCTTTGATCATTAATGTCCAGTCCTACTAATTCTCAATCTCTTATTTTGCTTTATATTGGTTTATTTATAAGATTTATTTAAATTTGTCCATTTGGTGTTTTTCAAATAATGAGAAATAACTTGAATTTTTATAAAACCACTAACTGGAATGCTATTCCAACCTTTCTTAGTCAAGTTAGTGTTGGAAATAACTGTGACTACTATATAAATATTAATGTTTATATTTCTCAGAATGTGTTGGAAATAACTGTGACTACTATATAAATATTAATCATAGAGGTTTATACATAAGCCCCATTTTAAACACTATTTTGGATGTTGCTTTATATCTATAACAAATAAAAATTTTAAATTCTTACTCAAGATGTTGCACTATGTTTTGCTTTTTAATTAGTAAATAACATGCTCTTGTAAAACCTTTTGTGTGGAAATCGCCATAACTTATTTGCTATCCTTTGAACTGAGAAGGACAAAAATACAGACACACACAACAGCCTTCTGATGATATAAGCTATGAAATACATGTGCAGATACATCACGTATGCTTCTGCACATGTATTTTGTCTCTACATATTTTATAATCTTAATACTTTGTAGACTCAGTCATAAAAATGACTCCCCTAGTTTTATAAGCATATATTTATAGTTTTGTGTATTTTTTCATTACAAAGAGTAATTTCATTAATTTTATTAAAAGCTTTTTCTATAAGGAATAATTTCTTGGAAATTAATTGGGTGTGATACGAGGTGGTTGTTGCCACCATCCCTCTCATCTTATCTCCATGTGTCTCGTCAACTCCGTGTATCTCATCTCCATGTGTTTCATTATCCCCATGGATCTCATCACCTCCATGAGTCTCATCACCTCTGTGTGTCTCATCACCTCCATGAGTCTCATCACCTCCATGAGTCTCATCACCTCCATGAGTCTCATCACCTCCGTGTGTCTCATCACCTCCATGAGTCTCATCACCTCCATGTGTCTTATCACCTCCATGAGTCTCATCACCTCCATGAGTCTCATCACCTCCATGAGTCTCATCACCTCCGTGTGTCTCATCACCTCCGTGTGTCTCATCACCTCCATGAGTCTCATCACCTCCATGAGTCTCATCACCTCCGTGTGTCTCATCACCTCCGTGTGTCTCATCACCTCCATGAGTCTCATCACCTCCATGTGTCTTATCACCTCCATGTGTCTCATCACCTCGATGAGTCTCATCACCTCCATGAGTCTCATCACCTCCATGTGTCTCATCACCTCCATGTGTCTCATCACCTCCATGAGTCTCATCACCTCCATGTGTCTCATCACCTCCATGAGTCTCATCACCTCCGTGTGTCTCATCACCTCCATGAGTCTCATCACCTCCATGAGTCTCATCACCTCCATGTGTCTCATCATCTCCGTGTGTCTCATCACCTCGGTGTGTCTCATGGCCTCCCTGTGTCTCATCACTTCCATGAGTCTCATCACCTCCGTGTGTCTCATCACCTCCATGAGTCTCATCACCTCTGTGTGTCTCATCATCTCCGTGTGTCTCATCACCTCAGTGTGTCTCATCGCCTCCCTGTGTCTCATCACCTCCATGAGTCTCATCACCTCCCTGTGTCTCATCACCTCCATAAGTCTCATCACCTCCATGTGTCTCATCACCTCCGTGTGTCTCATCACCTCTGTGTGTCTCATGATCCCATGCCTGTCATCTCCATACATCTCATCTCCATGTGTCTCATCTCTATGCGTCTCATGTTCATGCTTCTCATCTCCATAGGTCTCATCATCTGTTATATCTCATCTCCATGTGTCTCATCTGCATATTCCATCCCCATGCATCTTAGCTCCATGTCTCATCTTCATGTGTTTCATCTCCATGTGTCTCTTCACCCCCATGCTTCTCATCTCCGTGCATTTCATCATCTCTTGTGTCTCATTTCTGTGTGTCTCATCTCCATGTGTCTCATCATCTTCATGTATCTGTGTACCCAGCCTGGCCTCATTGCCTACTTGGAACAGATGGGTTAAAGACCTGACAATCACATACCTCAGGTAGGGTTTTGCTTTTATTATGAATATCAGCCTCATCATTCTGCCTTTTTGTTCTTCTCTAGAGTGGCCAGATCTGGTGGAAGAGGAAAAAAATGTAGTTATTGAATTCAGTCAATTGTTTGCGTCTTTGAAGCTTTCAACAGAATTCCATCAAGAAAGGTTCTGGCTGGTCCCACAGACATATGGATATCCAAGGAGCTACCTAAAGGTAAGAAACTCTATGTGGTATTAATAATTTAAGCTTTACATGCAGATAGGTGTTTTGCATATATACCTTAAAATATGTTAGTTTGAAAAGCATAAATATATGTTTGTGAAGGAAGCAGCATTATATTTGATATAGAATACCACACCTCTTGCTTTTAATAAATCATACAGTATAAAGTCAGAACATGTAATCTCTTGGTAAACAAAGACTCAAGTAGCCTTCTGTTATCTAGCTACAACAGCACCCAAAAGAAGAATTTATAAACATACTAATAGGTCTGGTTCATCCTTCAACAGTCATAGAGAAGCTCCTTTGTACAAAGTCCCTTTAAATACAGATCCCTATGTCCACTATTAGTTCTATTTTGGGGTATTTTATATTTAAGGAAATTAAGAAAGTCATTAATTAGGGACTCTTTTGCATTGCCAGAGTGCTTGTAGGTTTCTGTTGGTTCCTGCTGATAACCCTCCCTTGCTGCCACTGTGGGCTCTGGGAGTCATGTTCCTCGAAAAACTTCAGGTTGCCACATTTTATTTTCAAAATAATTGTGGTAAAATACACATAACATGAAGTGTACCATTTTCACGGTTTTCAAACGTATAATTCGTGATGTCAAGTGTCTTCACATCCTGGTGCACTGGTCACACCTTCCATCTTCAAAAGTTTTTCGGTCACAAACTGAAACCCTGTCCCAATTAAACACTAACTGCTAAGGCCTCCCCTGCACTCCCTGGTCCCAGCATTCTGCTTTCTGTCTCTGTGAATGTGACACCAGACTTAGCTCATGTGAGTGGCGTTGTACAGTATCTGTTCTTTTGTGACTGCTCTCTTTCACTTAGCATGATGTCCTCAAGGTGCAGCCATGTTGCAGAATGGGTCAGAACATCCTTCCTTTCTAAGGCTGAATAATAGTCCACTGTACATCTCAGTGGACATGTGTGCTGCTTCTACCTCTCAACTACTGTGAATTATGCTACTGTTAGCTTGGGTGAAGAAATATGTATATTTGAGTCCCTGATTTTACATCTCCTGGGCATCCACCCAGAAGTGGGATTGCTGGGTTATGCGCAACATATTGTATTTTTAATTCGTTCAGGAAATGCCACTCTTTTCCATAGTGGTCGCACCACAAAATGGTGCATTATTGCCACAGTTCTCAGGGTTCCAGTTGCTCCACATCCAGGCTGACACTGTTGTTTTCTGTGGTTTTCTTTTTAAAAAATACTAGGCATCCTGGTGGATGTGAAGTGGTATCCTATTGTGGTTTTGATTTGCATTTCCCTAATAGTTCATGACGTTGAGCATCTTTCCATGTGTTTACAGGACATTTGCATGTCTTCTTCGGAGAAATGTCTACGTCCTTTGCCTTAATCAGGTTCTTTGTTTTTTATTGTTATTGAGTTGTAGGAATTCTTATATATTATAGATATTAACTCCTTATCATATGTATGATTTGCAAGTATCTTCTGTTTTATGGGTTGCCTTTCACTTTGTTGGTAATGTACCTTGACACAAAAGCATTTCGTTGTTTTCTTTTATGTTTTGATGTTGCCCAACTTCACTATTTTTTTTTAACCTAACTTTAGGTATCATATTTAATGAATCATTGCCAAATTCAATGTCAGTAAGCTGATCCTTCCTGTTTTCTTCTAACAGTTTTGCAGCTTTAGCCTCTGAGTTTAGGTTGCTAACCCATTTGGAGTTATTTATTTATTTATTTACAGATTTAAGGTAAGAGTCTAACTTTATTATTTTGCATATGGTTATCCTCTGTGTGTTGAAAAGACTGTCCTTGCCCTACTAAATGGTTATGGCACCCTTGTCAAAAATCATTTGACCATATATGCAAGAGTTTATTTCTGGGTCCTCTATTCTGTTCCATTGGTCTGTATCTCTGTCTTTATGCCAGTACCACACTGTTTTGATTACTGTAGGTTTGTAGTAAGTTTTCAAGTCAGGAAGTGTGAAATGTCTGTCTGTGTTCTTTTTCAATATTGTTTTGACTATCTAGGGGTCTCTTAATATTCCATATGAATTTTGAAATAGATTTATTTCTGGAAAAAAATGACCTTAAGATTTTGAAAGGAATTGAACTGAATTTGTAGATCATATGGCTAAGTTTCTTATTGAGACAGAAACAGGTTTTTTTTTTTTAATACTTTCTAGTAAAGAATTTCTATGTGCAATTTAAACATGTATCATGACTTTAAATAATTCTTTCTCTTTGGAAAAAAAAAGTTCAGATTTTTACCTCGTTTTTCTGAGCCTGGTCTGATTAACAATGAGCAATTATATAAGAATATCAAATATAAAGTTTTCTGAAATCTTCCCTAAAGATGAAGATGTTGTTTCTGTTTAGTTTCTTTAAAACTCAGCTTTGTTTTTAAGACTTAATTCTCTAGCAGTTTCTTTAAAATTCAGCTTTGTTTTTAAGACTTAATTCTCTAGCAGTAATTTTGAAGGCTTTGTTCTCTAGCAGTAATTTCTTAGGTAGAAAGTCAACAATGGCATGGGATGTTCCACCTAATCACAGCGATTGAAGATACCCCGGCATCCAGGGGCTTATTGTTCATGACAAGAGACTAGAAAATATCCAAGCTTAGATACGTAGATGTTAGGCATCATCCAAGACCACCGTGAATACTAACAATGTAGAGAGGCTTGGAGCACGTGTTTAATTCCCCAACTGTGTCCATTTATACATCATAAAACTTATCACTCATAGAGCCCTATACAGTAAGCACTAGCACGGGGCAACCACGAACTCTCTGCAAGGAAGCATGACTATTATTCCCTCTTTAGAGGTCAGTAGAGGGAAGATGAGAGAGCTTAGGTGACTAACCTAAGACAACATAATTGATAAGCAGCCAGGACGGGACCTGAACCATGCACAACTGTCCTGGAAAGAAGGCTGGTGTACCATATGGTGGGAAGGAATGATGTCTGAGGATTTAGACTTAACACAAATCAGGAACTCCAAGAAGCCTTTAATTTCAGTTCTTAATTTAAGCCTAAATTCAACTCTAAGAAAAATATTCAAAAATTAGCACTTAGAAACGACATGACAAAAGTCTCACTCAAAGAACAGACTTTGTTTTTACCACTGCCCTTTTCCGCCACCAGTGCTAAGTAGTGAGTGGGTATTTATCATTCGTTCATCATTCTCTCATGCTTTCAACAGTGCCAAGTACCTGTTTTGTGCCAGGAACTCTTGTGTCTGTATGTATAAAAATCAATGAGATGCAGTCTTTGCCCTCAAAGACTTTGCACATTGAACAAACGTAAGGCGTGGAGAGAACTAAAGGAAGGCTAGACCGTACTATTTCCCTTGATGCAAAACGTGTCTTACTCCTTTCTGCGTTCCAGAGCTGGGCTTGTTTTCTGGGCTGTATTAAGTACACAGTCACATCTCAATGAATCCAGAGGTCTGTGCAAGCTGTTGAGAGGGACACAGAAGAGATCTTAATTGGGAGCAGAGGAATCCAAGAGAACTTTGCAGAGGGGAGACCACTCCATCAGTGGTTCCTTAAAGATTAGTTTATTAGATGAATAGATCTGGAAATGGCTGGCTTGAGAGAAGGAAAATACAAAACTCAGAGATGGGAAGCATCCAGTAATGGATGTGAAATACTATTCAGTTGTCACGTACAGCGACACGTTAGGATAAAGGGATTAGCTCCACATGGCTTAGGTTTGGTGTTTATGAAATGAGCATGGGTACTGTCTGCATTCTGTGGTCCATAGGAGACAGAATGGGATGTGGCTCTGTGTCTCACCCTGTCAGATGGAACGTAGAACAGAATGGTCCTCTGTAAGAAGTTGCATGCTTCCTCTCAGTCCTTTACATCGATGACTACTTTCTTTCACTCATCTGCGTGCTGTCCTTTCTGCCCCCAAAGTCTGGTGTTACTGTCTTCAACTTTCTGAATTCTGTTTTAGTAGCTGCTGTGCAGTCTGCCTAACTGCAGAGTCCGGGAATTGTTCTGCTAGTCCTAGCCTCAGATTACAGCTCAGAATCAGAAGCACGCAGATGGAAGGACCCTTAGCACCACCACCGTGGCAAAGCCGTGGCACTCAAACCCAGGCCCCACGCCCTTCCCCGACCCTCAGCCCTTCCCTCCCCTGCAGGTCTCACCCCACCGTGTGCCATCTCTTCTGTCTGTGGCAGCTGGCTTCCTTTAGCATCTCCACTTACGAAGGACATGGGGGCTTGATCCTATGGGAGAAATAAAAATGCCATAGAACAAGATTTAGATTTAGGGCATTTTTCTGTCCTCGTGTGTCCCAATTAGCCACTGTGATTGCTGAGCCGTGAACACCTGTGGCGTCTCCACAGCTGGTGCTCTAGGAAATCCAATTTCCCCTGAACCAGAGCCCAAAGAGAAAATCACACTCTGCATCCAATTTCCATGCTAAAGACTTTCCTTAAAATAAAATCAATATCTGTTTCCCAAAAAACTACATGAATTGTGTTCTGAATGGTGACTATTTTAAAGAAAAGTATATAATGCATCCAGAAGAAAAAATCTGCGGAAATAGCTCCAGCTCTATAAATCTATGTATCCTTTGACCCTTTGCAAGAAATATATTTAAAACAGTGAACAAATGTCATTAGGTTTAGTCCTGGAACTGCCAACAATCACTTGTCTTTGGGTAAATCTCTACAAAATATTCGTTCCTTTTTCTGTAAAACAGAAATAAATGATCAAACGAGATGAATATCAAGAACCTAATGTAAACTATAAAAGATGATGATAGTAGCGAACCATTTATTAATCATCCAGTCTGCACCAAGCTTGGTTCTAAAAGTGCCATGTCTTATTTAATGTTCAAAAAAAAAAAAAACACTATGAAGCTAGTTGTCTGTGTGTGTGTATGTGCGTGTGCGTGTGGTGTGTGTGTGTGTTAGTTTTCATACTGCTGATAAAGACATACCTGAGACTGGGTAATAAAACAGAGGTTCAATGTATACACAGTTCCATGTGGCTGGGAAGGCCTTG